TTATAATAATAAATAATAATAATATTTATTAAAATTCATTAGAAAAATATAATTATTTCTCAATTGATATATTTATATGTTATGTAGTTATATATTGTAAGTTAAAAAAAAAATTATTATAATATAACACAAGTAAGTTGCACAAATAAACAGTGTCATAATAAATATATAATAATATATATATTCTTATAAAAGGTATTTAAATTTTCAAACTACTTTTTCTCATTAATTTTAGATTTTAAGAGAAAAATTAGCAAGCACCCGTGCAGTACACGGGTGTTGTACTAGTAGTAACACTCATATTTAAAAGGCAAAATTGCATCAAAATACACCACCTTCTAACTTTTTGCAATTTAATCACCACCTTTCAAAGTTTGCAACTAAGTACACCAGTTTTAGACATTTGGCAAATCGAAGCATGTCAAATGGAAACCGGCACCTGCTTTCTTACGTGGTATCCTCGGAAACTCACGTGGAAATCGAAAACACACGTGGAAGTCCAAAAATAACAAACAAAAAACTAAAATGCCACAAAATCAGTCTATCTAGCATATTTGCTAAAATAAAATCAAAATTAAGTAGCTTCTCAGCCCTAAATTCAAAATCAGTCGAACAACTAAGAACCCTAAATTATAAAATTGTCGAACAATTTGAACCGTGGGGGAGATTTATCAATCTTGATGCAATTTTGCCTATTTAAAAATATAGATGGTAGGTGCGTTGTTTAGACAAACCTTCACCAAGTGAAAAAAGGTCAATTCAATACTCATACTTTTGAGCTATCAGATCTTCTTTATATGTTTACATATATATTTGAGACTTTTGGTGAAGTTAAAAGCCAAAAGAGTAGGCATAATATTTATTTTAATTGAGAGTTCTTTAGTGTTTTGTAATTCTTGTTAGCTTTATGAACTAATCAAGAAGATATTAATTTTAGGTAGTCCATATTTCGGATACTAATATTTTTAAAAGAATAAAATTAAGGACACTTAAATTTTAAGTTTACAAAAAAAAACAATACATGCACGTTTATTTTTTATGTAATAATAATAAAACATAGCATTCCATGAAAAATGGATTTTAAATTGAATAAAATGAAGTAATTAAAAAAAATTTACGTTGTCATAATTAGTTACGTACCCAATTTTACTTAATGAAAGTACTCACCTATCATTTTCATAATTTGCCTAACAGTCTTTTGATATGGGTGAAGATTATCAAATCATATTGAAACTCATCCGGATTTACATTGTCATAATTAGTTACGTACCCAATTTTACTTATTAAATCATATCATATTTTAGTCATCAAATCAAAACTTACCTACAATATTTATCATAATTTTACTTTGCAAATTTAACTCTAATATTGCGGATGAAAAAATGTTTATACGGATACCTTCATCCTTTATTTGAATTGTTTTATCTTGCGTTTCTAATTTGTTGGTAATCAACTGATTCGATTTAATTTATTTTTAAATAAAATATTTCTTGATTGAAATAGTAAATAATTTTTATTTTTTTTAAATTTACGCTGCTTAAATAACATTAATATTATCCTTGCAAAAAAAAAATATATTATATAGTACATGTCTCCAAATATTTCTTTCTGTTAGTAACATGAGTGCCGAATTATAATAAATATAGATGGAGAGCAATACAATACATGTGGTGCAATAAATAATTTTTTTGGCATTTTCTTGCCTAATTTCAAAAGTTGTTGATATAGCACAGCTTCGTAACAATATTATTGCATGCATGTGAGGTATTAACTATAATAATAAATATTGCATAGACATATATAGCTATTGTACCATAATTCTGAAATATTGCACGCTTTTTTTTACATATATATGTATAATAGATTGCGAAGTCAATGCTAATTATTCTTTAACCCAATCGCCAGCGCCAAAAATGTGGAAAATTCGATTCTACTAGTGACTATGGCTGCAAACGAGTTGAACATTGGCCTTATCGAATTGAGGTCGATTTATGAAGCTCGAACTCGACTCGATAAGAAAGTACAATAGCTCGAGCTCGGCTCGAAATCAAATGCTCGAGCTCAACTTGAAATTTTTTAAATAAAATTACCATGAAGCACAAGTGTTATACTATTTAAATATATATAAAGAGTATTCTAGTTAGTAATTTACTATATATATCGAGCCACTGAACAATGCAAAATATGAGTTAAAGCTCGAATCGAATTCATACTCGAGTCGAATTTTGACTCAAGCACTAGCCGCTCGACTTGTCTGCAGCCTTAGTCATGACATTATAGTCATCAAATATTTGACTGTTGGATAAATCCAACAGTGAAATCGGGTAGAATTTTAAGTTCATGAATCTCGAATCCCGATGTTCATAAATGTTCTTTAAAGAAAGAAGATATAGAAAAAATTGAGCTTCCAATTTTTGCGGTGTATTAATTTGTTGGACCATAAAATTTGGGGTTTTCAATAAGTACTTTACATGTCATAACCCTAAACAAAATTAATACTCTTAATTTGATAAAATAAAAATAGTACTCTTATTATTAATGTCTCTCATGACAATACTACGTACGTTACGTACTTTAATAATTAACTAATTATCAAACTTTTTACCATTTAATCAACTTTGTTTTGATTTGCTGGAGATGCCAATGCCTTAATAATTCACGAATGAATATATGCATATAATAATAATTATGATTATTACTATTCCAAAAAGAATGATAAAAAAAAAGCACAAAAATAATTTAATCATTTACATATTAAATTAACGTGTGGTGTCTGTCTGCTGACCAAGGATAAGACGGGTGATAGAAAATGATGACAGGACTTTAAAGTAAATTTGTCCATTGTTCATTCATCACACAAAATTCCATATCTCCATGCAAGCAACACATATCTGGAATATTGGATCTTACTAATTTTGTTTAACACATTGGAAAAAAGAGATATAATAAATATCAGAAATTAATAAATTGCTATATTTCTTAAGCAAAAAATGAACTTGGCAAACCGATACTCCATTATTTCTTTAGAGAGATGAAGACCGAAATCACGAGTAGATCGAGATTTTAAACCAGAAAAATAGAAATAAAATGAAATTGAAGAACGAGAAAGCAGCCGGAAATTTTATATAGATCGCGAACAGGATCTGGATATACTCGGCGAATGATACCATATCGAAACAATGATCAAATCAAAAATTATGCATTCAACTGTGAAATCGAACATTATTTTAATTTCAACCAACATTATTTTAATTTTTATCTTGACAGAAATATGAATCCTAACACATCTACCAAA